TGCCATTAGCGCCTGCTTAGCTACACTTGTACTGTAAGGTAATGTCAGAGCATCATCCATCTGGTTTTACTCAATGTAACAGGCACAGAAGGGGAGAAGAGAGGAAAAGACGTGATAGCCATTCTTTCTTTCTGGCTCCACTTTTAATAGCCACATAAAAATTGTCAATTTAATTAAAACTTGTGTGCTTCCTGTGTTATGTTATTGCACCAACCATGTTTGTGTTTTTAGAACAGAGAGACCAGGGACCTCTTAAAAATAAATTCTTCACATCACCTGTGAAAACACTGAGGCTCTTCCTTTTTGGCTTCCCAAACCCAGCAGTTCTTTAGGACTCATAAAGCCATGTTTAATTATGGAAGCTCAACTGGGAAGACACACTCAGGCAAACCAGCCAGTTGCAAGGGACATTGTAACCCCACAGCCAGCCAGTTTGCTCTCTCTCTGGCATCTCTTGAACTTTTTAAAATGATGCTTTTAGCCCCACACATAGAAAGCTGGGCTGAGTGGTCCCCTCCCTCCTTCCTTCCCCAGGCTGGGCTTTGTGAGGCTGATGGATGGACGGCCTGCGTGGCTTCCCTCTATGACCGATTTTTTTAAAGATTGTGAGCTCCTCCTGCACACCAGTCTGAATGGCCTATTAGGGAAGCCCCTTTGTGAGGTAATTGGATTTCTCCCCTTGTTAGTTTGCAATGAAAATGTCATCTAGATCGAGGGAGGCGTCCATTCATCTCAAATTAAATTCAGTCATCTCTGCGGTGAGCTGTGAAACTATTCATGCGGCAGCAAGCAGCTGCGACGGGAGGTGCCCTTGATGAGACCCCACAGCCGTGCTCCAAGTCCAGCTCCCAAGTTGCCCACACACATGGCTGGCCCAAGATGTTTCTTTGCCCAGGGCAAAGAGCAAGATGCTGCCTCGAGCTGGATTGCCAGCTGAATCTTACTCTACCCCAGCAACAGGTCAATATTGCCCACTGCAATTCAGGGCTGCAGGGCTGGAAAGGTCAAGGGGTGCAGTCACGATGGTGAGATGCTGCTGCCACAAACCCCAAGCCCAACATGACCAACCCGAGGCATGGAAGGACCAGTTCAAAGGTCCCAAGTTCCTCAAAGAAGCTCAAGCTCAGTGTCTCGAGGCTGTTGGCAAAGATGAAGGTCAGGACGTTCATGAGATCTCACCCAGGGAGCGTCACAGGCCTAGTGTTGCCACTTTTAGGCATCGCTCAGAATCACAGTCCCGTCACTGGGGCCACCCAAGCCCAGCAGCTGGGTCTACAAGGCTCCATTTCTGTGCTGGAGGGACAATGTGAAATGAACCAGTGCAGGAAATGATAAATAGCAGTTTCCCTGCCCACTGTCAGAACAGAGTGAGCAAAAAGCTCTGCCATAATATGGCTGCCAAAAGCCTGACACTGTAAGAACAGCTTTAGATTTAAGAAGGGATTCCTTGCTTCCCATGTATACCTTAGAGATGCTAAAGTGCCTGTCCTGAAAGGTCTACCTTTGGGGTCACACCTTGGACACGTTAATGTTTGTCTGTCCTACGGGTTCTTTTTGTGTTGTGCGGTCTTAACCACATTCAACCATTATGTTTCATTCCCATGTGTTTCCAGCAAACTGCCTACGTGATCCTCAGCCCGATCCCCCAGACTGTGCATATTATAAAGGCATCTTCTACTGACTCCATTGCTAACCACAGCGGACACGCAGAGTCCTCTCTGTCGGCACATGAGCCAAGTCACTCCAGCATCACCCAGCAGCCGAGCATTACATAACAGCGCACATAACAGCGCATACTCGGAAAGGTGTGGTGGTGCAAAGCGATGATGTCACAAGGTGCGACACATTAACCACAACTCGTCCGAGCTTTCGTATGGCTGGTCAGTGCGCTGCCGTGTGTGTGTATGCGTTTGCTTGGACTGGCTGTTTTCAGGTTTTATTGCAGTGTTGGCACTTTGCGATAAATAAGTGGGTTTTGGGTTGCATTTTGGGCACTCGGTCTCTAAAGGTTCACCGGGTTAGGGTTAGAAAAATGAGGTGTCCTGGCATGATTTTGATGGCTGGAATGTGTTTGGAATGGACAGAAATGATGAGCTGTGCAGAAAAAGCTACTCAAGGATGGCTTTTTCAAAGCGCCCTCTTTTAAATGGAACTTTAGCCCTATATTAGGGTTAGGGGTGTGCACCAGGGTAGGGTTTAGGGTTAGAAAAATGAGGTGTCCTGGCATGATTTTGATGGTTGGAATGTGTTTGCAATGGGCAGAAATGATGGGCTGTGCAGAAAAAGCTACTCAAGCATGGCTTTTTCAAAGCGCCCTCTTTTAAATGAAACTTTAGCCCTATATTGGGGTTAGGGGTGTGCACCAGGCCAGGGTAGGGCGGGAAACCAATCCAGATGGGGAAACACAGTAAGAGGCTTGCCTAATCCACATTGCCAGAGGGATGATCTGGATGAGACCTAACCTAACCTTCGTACCTAACATTTGCTCTTGCCGTACTGGATTGAGAGGGGGAACTCCTTCCTTGGCAGCCAACAGACACAAGGCAGAACCAAGAAGATGACCACCAGGAGGGAGATGGGATTCCTCCAAGAACCAATCCAGCAAGGCTCTCATTCGTGCACTGGACCATCAAACTTGGGACCAAATGAACTTAAGCAGTAAAAGCATCTGTCACCTACAGGCACTGCAACCTTCCCCAACTTGGCCCCCTCCAGATGGATTGAATATCACCCTCCAACATAGTCCAACACCCCTTGAGGACACCTGACTGGGGAAGGCTGTGGCAGCGCTTGAAGCAGCAAACCACTTTAAAGCACAAAGATGAAATGCCTGCTCCTAAACACACTGTGGGCCAGTGAGGGAGCATGACTAATTGTGACACCTTCATGCAAATCTGCTGATTTCCACATGCTTACAAGCAGAGTTGCATTTCACATTGTAGTAGCAATGACCAGCTAGGAGTCGAATTCCATCCTTTGATTGATGGCATCTAACCTCTCATTTGCTAAATGGGAGAAGGTTAGAAGATAGGCAAGACTAAGTAGATTTGTTAGGGAGACTTGGGATCATGTCATCTGAAAGGAGCAAATGGATATTGGCTTATCACATTGCCCCGCTGCCAGTGTTCGACACTCTGCAGCAAACACCCTTGTAGTTTAAAGGGTGCATCAGCTTATCATCTAAGTCTTGCTTTGATTCATGGGAACAGAGTTATTTAGCAGGACAGGCCTGAAGATTAACAGACTCCTGGCAGAACCATCTCATTGTTCTCTTGTTGTAGGGAACATCTCCTCTATGGCAAATGTGGGAACAAGTTGCTAACAGGATTAGTTCTGTCCCTGAAGTCACAATAGGGGCTCCCAGCACCGAAGGACCACCTCCAGTAGGTTTCTCCCAGAAACGCAGACCACTCGTTGAAGTAAATAAGCAAAAGTCATGTGGCAAAAACAGCAATGGGAAGGTATTGCTGATCATGGAGAGTCAAGTTTGGTCCATCATTTTATTTATATGAAACCTAATGTGTAAGCTGCCAGCTCACAAGATGTCAGCTGTAATATAGGTTGTACAGAACTTCAGAAGCAGCTGCAGCCTTACTCCATCAGCCCACACACCGACTTGCTCTTCAGCATGGATAGATTTAACATTTCATCCGTAAGACTTCAATCTTCTCTCTCCACGGTCCAGAGAATGATTTGAGAGTTCTGGATACAGCAGCATTACTGAAACTAGGCAGCTGTGGACTTGATCCACCTCTTGCACTGATTCCCCCCAGGAAATGAAAACACTAGCTAAGGCTATTGGCACTGTGCTAATTTAGGCTAGCACATTATCTGGACTAGCAGCTGTGCCCTGTTGGATAGTGCACTGAATTCGTACATGTTTGCCTATGAACTGTGCTTTATACACTGAAGTCCTACAAGGCAACAGAGCCAGAAAGTAGGTTCAGAACCGCCCCCTCCATTCTAAAGCAGTGGCTAGCAAAAAATCTGGCAAAGGGTCTTTATGCACAACTTAAGGATTATAAGATGGTCTTACAAACAGGCAAGGACTCCTTTGTAATGAGCAATTTTAGAAAAGATCACAGGCAAATGAACATGTTAGACTGGCCTAAGCGCTGTGTAATTATTTTAGCTAGGAGCCCTTCCCATTCTGCAATGTATCTTAGTAACTTGACTGCTCATGTGTTCTGTTCTCTTTGAAAAAGAATTATCGTTCTTGTATTCCCTTTTTCAGTTTTCATTTTCGATGCCACAATTATGGATCAAGAGGGCTCACAGTTGACAAACTCAGCCTCAAATTAGCATCTTCCTCTGTTTCTATCCACAGTATTCCTAGTGTGCACAATGAAAACGTCTTCAGAGCTGAGAAACAAATTGCAGGCTGGCGTATGCACACACAGGTAGAGCCACTTTTGCAAATGAGTAGCCTTGAATCCCTTCCACCTATTTGTACCGTGCTCACTGCAAACCAGCATTCCTTTGCAATTTGGTTAGGTAGACATCAGGAGCTAGAATCAGACAGTAGATCGATCCTCTTGCAAAGCCTCCTTTCACCCCTGCAGGCATGAATCCCCACTTGGAATATAATCTCAGAAGTGATCAGTTGCAGTGGGTGATGGGGAAAGAGGTCAATCTGTGGAACTGAATGAACTGGCAGTCGACATGTTTGGATACAACTTAATACCTTATTTGGGTCTTGCACCTCCACCTTACTCAGATTTGTTTCTCCACTCTAGGCAAAGCATCTTCCAAAAGCCAAGAGAGGTTCTTTCGTTTACACTGGCTTTTGCCAAGGTGATGTTGAGACCATGCATGCATTTGTGTACATTGTTCAAACATTCTGCATGTCATATTTCTACAGGTTTTGTTGTTGTTGTTTTAGTATGTTGCAGTTCATTCTTTAAAATAAAGAAGATAGATAATTCTCATTTTGTAGTTTAAGCACATAATGTTCATTATTAGACAAAGATCAATCAAAAAGAAATGGAGGCTACAGCCTGTTTAAAAAGAAATGAGGGATATATTAAGATCAGTTTGCAATTAGTATTACAAAGTGTTGGGAGAAGCGATTACAAATATTTTTGTTTGCTTGAATTCTATTCTTCCACACTGTTGCTAGCTGAGAAAGCAGTTGGGGGCAGTGTTCCCACCAGGTTGTATGGGAATGCAAAAGTGTACAGTCAACTCTATTCATTCATCTCATTTAGTACAAACAAGAACCAATTTACATGTGCCCAATGCACATTCAGATTCAGTAAGGCTCCCCAGTGCGATACACACAGGCCACGAAGCATACTGTGAAACAATGGAATAGTTCACGCTTAAGGTAATCCTTAATTGAGCATCCCAGGAATCACCACTGAATGGCACTCTATCTGCAGAGTCACCATCTGGAAGAACCAAGGTCCTTACCATGGGGACTGCACAAATGGAGGAACCACATGGGTACACCCCACCTCGAAGCAGCAGTTCTCAGAATGGTTCTTCGTCGCACTCATGAGCCACAAGCCCAGCATGTACCCCTTCCCTCCAAATGTCTGAAGGGAGCCACCAATGGTGAGATCTGGACTAGTGGATTTCTGCAAACTGTATTCTTAGCTATGGATACAAACCTGTCAGTGGGGCCCTGGTATTTCAATCCTGTGACTGGCCAGAATTAGAGCATTTGGGGTTCAGTTAGTTCAATCAAATGTTTGGGGTTCAATCAGTTCAATCAAACTCCTGCTCATTTTAGATCTGGCTAGACTTTTCCAAATTAATAGGCAGTACCTATGTCCTTCTGCAAGTCTCCCTCTGCCACCTTGCTAATTTCTCTCCAGAGCCCTCTGACATTTGCTTAACCATCTCGTAAGTAAGACTGTCTTTTACAGACTAAGTTCAAGTGCATTCCTATTAGCCTTTGCATCATTTAACCAAATCTAGTTCCTACCTTTTCAGCCAAAAAGGTTTCCTCCCACAACCCTCAGAACACCATTGCATCTGCAACATCCTGAGCAGCTCAGAAGCACAAATCTAGCATTGCTGGTCCAGAGTCCTGTGCCACTCATGGAAAGAAAACTAATTTTCAAGCTTCTGCAGGAAGCAACTGAAATAGGACCTCATGAACTTGCATTTCTAGTTGCTCATTTCCATTTCCTGTAGCATCTGTTTATAATGGTTCTCAGGTAAGGATTATACATAAGCCCACACACACACACGCACGCGCGCACACACACAATGGGGACATATGACCCCTACACACAAACTCTCTCTCCAACACACACTGACACACACTACAAGAAAATTTGGCTCTTTATCCTCCAAGCAGCAATCCTGGCCTGTACCAAAGTCCTTGTCATCGCTGACTTAAGTGGGAGACAATGTAGATGAGGCCCACCAAAAGGAGGCCACGCACGCCCACCATCATGAGGAGGAACAGCAACAGGATGGACATGACCGGCTCCACCACCTGGTTGCCAAGGTTCCAGGTGGGGAATCCCATGTTCACTAGCTGCTGGTTGATGTCTGAAAATGGTGAGCGCTCCCCTGGCCTTGCGCCCTGCTGCTGCTCCCGCTGATGGTACGGCTGCTGCTCCTGCTGTCGTGGGGGAACACCCGTATTAGTCCCCATATTGAAAAAGCCCTGTGGAGACAATCCAGAGAAATCAAGTGACGCTCATTAGAGTGTGCCTCATTTGATGGAAACATGTAAAAAGGAAAAGCCAGAAATGCAGCCATTTCAGCCAGCTTTTCTCAACCTAGCATCCTGTAGATGTGTGGGACCACAACTCCCCGAATCCCCCAGCCAGCACAGTTGTAATGGGGAGAGCTGATTTAGGCCACTCATGGAACCTAAAAGCAGCTTCTACATAACATAAAGCCAGCCATGCTGGATCTCTTTATTTCCAAACCTACTATGTTATGCAAATTTGAGTGCTATCCAAAACTACTATGTTATGCAAAGCACTCAAGTAATAGGAGCAGATGAAAGAAAGAAGAACATTGTGGGTTCACAATGCTTAGTAAAAATCAGGGATAGAGTTAGGCTCCCACAGGAAAAAAAATGTCTTCAGAAAAACCAAAAAAGTTGGGGAACCGCAGGACTAGTGGTTTCATTCCATCCAAGACAATTTTCTATGTTCTTCTGACTTTCCTTGCACACTTCTTGATTAGCACTGAAAATCATCCTTTTTGGACAGATTGTTCAATAATTATGGATCAGACATAATTAAACATCTATTCATTATTATTATTATTACATTTTTATAATTATTCTACACATTGCAAAATACAATATATACACTTTCCTTACCGGGCGAGATGAATTCTCCCTATTCTGATTGCTCCGTCTCACTCGAGGGTCATCATCTTGTACAATATCTCCATTGGCCAAAATCCGCACCATTTTTAGACCTGTATAGTGTTTGTCTTGTCACACCTGTAATATACAGGAGAAACAGGGTTGAACAAGCCCAACTGCACCCTCAGGGAATAGAGGCACAGGCAAGATGAACTGGGACCTGCACAAGAAGCCAAACCTTTTCCACAGTCTGAGGGAGAATACCTCTTCCAAGATGCTGCCCAACATGTCCCCATTTTGATACATTGTACAAAAAATATAAATAGTATATATATGTGTGTGTGTGTGTGTGTGTGTGTGTGTAAAATATGCAAACCTCCTAAACAGTTGATCACAGCACTTTTTCTAGTGAATCAGCAGGTTTCTAACAGCTTAATTCAGGAGGGAGGAACTATGGCCCTGCAGATGTTGTTGGCCTCCCAACTCCCATGAGCCTTGAACACTGGCTATCGGGACTGGTGCTGATGGGAGGTGGAATCCAACATTATATAGAGACTCAGTAGTTTCCTACCTCAGTTTAACCTAACTTATTAATCAATAAAGTTGCAATTTGAAGTTTGAAAAGTGAGAAAGCCAGATTCCCTCTCATTCCTTGAAAGAATGAAGAAACATAACAGACAGATCCAGTGCTGCATCTGAATGGAAATATCATCTACATAGCTTAGTGCTAAACTCAGTTTTGGGAAATATGGATATAAAATGTGGTGCAAGCAAGTCCCAGGCTGGCATCGTATACTGTCTCCTGGCACTGAGGTTGGGCATGGGAAGTCTTTGGCAAAGACTGAAGACACAAGACAGGCCACAGCTACTTCAGAAATAAGACAGAATTCTCAAAAATCATACAGACACAATGCTTGTGAAGCCATAAACCACAAAGTCCCGTCCCTCTCCCCACTCCAAATGTAATCTACAGCAAGAATTCACTAGGTGGCTTTCAGTGATCCACTCTCTCTTTGCCTCAGCTGTCCTCTGCAATACCAAAAAACCTTAAGAGATACTGAGAAAATGTAAAGCAAACCATCCTGTATGAAAAGATTTAGCACTACCATCACCAGATTGACTGCTCGGAGTTCTGACAACAAAGATCAAGTTTTGGAATATGAAGTGCCAGCAAGTGCTCAACCTTGCCAGCTGGAAGCAGGCACAAAAAAGATGCCTCTCAACCTGGAAACCTCTACAGCTAGTTAACTGCAATCACACAGACACACAATACAGGACGAGCACTCTGCAGATGGTCAGAGGCTGGCGCCTTCCCCACCCACCCCGCACTGAGTAACTTTCCTAAGGACATGTGGTTCAAATAAATCCTGCCTGCCAGTTTACACCAGCCTTTCCCAACCGGGCGCCTTCCAGACTTGCGGGCTGCAACTCCCATCATCCCCAGCCGCAAGACTGGAGGGGGCTTGGCTGGAGAAGGCTTCTTCACAAGTTAAAGGGTTTGCTCGACCCAGCACAGTTCCGAAACTGGTATCAGCCTTTTTCTCTAACTGGAGGGTCACTGGATCTCTCTCCACGGCCCGAACTCGCTCACCACTTCGGCCCCTCTAAAATGCGCTCCGCCGCTGACGTCAAGCTTCGCCGGCTTCCTCGGACTGTGTCACATCAACATCCCAGCAGCTTCCGCCCCGCTGTCACTGCCGGAAGTGACGCAAAAGGTGTCACGGGGCGAGAGGAAAGCAAAGCGGCTCCCCCGCCCCGCTGGAAACGTCAAGGGCTGGAGCAGCTCCCTCTTCAGGCTCCGCGGGGAACTGCGGGATGCGCTGTGCCTTTGCGACCGAGCTGGAGCTTCGAGCGAGAGGCGCGTCCTTCCTTGGAAAGAAGGTCTTTGGCCGGGGAACAGCAAGCCCTGGCCGCCCGTCTCAGGCGAGCTTTTCCTGTGGACACACGTCCTGGCCATGCCTTGCCTTGCAGATCTAGCTCTGGGCTGAGTGGGGCGCCTGCCCCAGGCAGCACAGGCTGAGTGGTCAGAGCGTGTGTGCCCTGGGAGGACAGGGTTCGGCTGATGCTTTGTGTTGGACTGATTCGCATCTCCAGTGTTGGAAGTAAGGTTCAAGTGCCTGTCCAGTTGGCTTTCGGGCATGGAATGAGGGGAGTTACCATCTCGCCCCATTCCTCAGGCAGCAAAATGACCTGGACAGGCCCTGCTGCCTTGGAGTAAGATTTTGCAAGTGAAGAGAACAAACAACCCAGCCTTGCCCGCTTCTCTGTCAGTAACAAAGATGCAAGTTTCAGGATGCAAGTGCCAGAGTTCTTCACGGTGTGGGTAAACATATTCTTTGCTAAAAAGGAGCGGGTTGTCCTTTGTGTTTCCGTTAGAAATACTCAGCAACAAACTATTCCTTAAGATAAACCAGATGGTAATCTTACAGTGAATTGCTGCAGGTAATTATTCTGTTAAAGCAAGGGTGGGAAATATGCCCTTCCAATGATGGATTGCAATTTCCATTATCCATGACTGCTGACTAGGACTGATGGGAGCTGTAATGGAACAACATTTGCATGACTGCAGCTTCTTCTTCCCTACATTAAGACCGTACCGAAACAGATTCAAATACTGGCAACACTAACCGTGCCTGGAGACCAGAGAGCACCCTACAAAGACTGGAGACTAATTCCCTTTATTTCTTCATTCATACCAAGGACCAGAAATCGAAATGTATTTGCATAAGTTGACCCCCCCCGCCTCAAAATTGCAAATTTGGTGGGGAACCTGTGCAGCCTTCCAGATGATGTTGAGTAACATTTCTAATTATCCATGCCCACTGGGCATTTTGGCTGGAGCTAATGAAAGTTGAAGTCCACAAAATTTTGAAGACAATAGGTCCCCTACCCCTGCTCTGGAATTATCCTTCCCCCTTGTTATTTATCTGTCCACCAATTCCATTGCATTAATTGATGAACCAATTTTATAGAGACAGACCTGATTTTCTGGCCCCTGCCCTGGTCAGTAATTGTCTTTATTTGTGCTTTTTAGAATGCCACATTGAAATCCTGTGATGTAACTTGTTTGCATTATTATATCCCCAGTATAAAATACATACTCAGGGTTTGACTCCCATTGACAAGATTTGTAGAAGTTGAAAATGACATACACAACTAAAAGAGCTGGACAAACCATTCCCTACCAGCACCACAAAAGCCGCTATGCTTAATTCCCCACATGGAGATATCCCAGTGGAAATCAGAAGTTTCGAGCATCATTTGGAAGCTTTGAAGAATTTGCTGTCTCAAGTGGGCACCTCTGCACCCCACGATTATGAGGTTAGCATTCTGATCAACAGGCATAGTGTGTAGACCTGTTCTAAAGGAAAGTTTTGCTGACATCTGAATCAAACAAACTCCTGACAGGAAGTCCTTAACATTTTTTTTCAACTGCTGGTAAAGGGATTCTAGTCCAATCTAGGCAATTTTGAAATGTATGCATGTACATGTGACATGCATAGGAAGCTACATATGAAGCAATATTACATGCACATATTGACCTGAGGACATATTACATTTTCACAGTTCCAGCAAATCTGCTATGCACTCAGCTGAGCCCTGAACTATGCTCATGCTTTGTGGAACTTGACCCTGATGCAGGTGGTCTCTTGGGGTCTTCTTTAACTTACAGCTCCTCTTTGGGAGGAAGCAAAGCACGATCCAAAATAGGTTTTGACAAAGACATGCTGTAGGTCCACATTGTGAAGCTGAATGACAGAACTAATCCTTTCAAGAGGTGGCTGCCTTCTTTTCTAATGGTAGGGTACAAGCAGGGGAGGGACTCTTGAAAAGTAGGGAAAGCAGGCTCAAAGTTTGGGACTGCAACATTAATCCTTTCCCTCCCACTGCCTCAGAAACAAACAATCGTTAAAGGGACACTATGGAACACTTTAGGTCATCCATTCAACTCTCTTCTAAAGCTGACCAGAATGCTAAAAATAAAGACAACTTTTAGCCTGTAAGGAGAGCCTTTGGGGGATTCCATTTGCAACCCATTTGGGGGAAGTTTAAAATTAATCCCTGGAATATACTCTAGTCCCAAAGTATAGTTGAAGGTATTCAGTATTCAGAAGGGAGAAAGGTTTTATTCATTTGTTATACATTGCAACCAAAGTGTACAAAGTCACGAGAAGTTTGAAACAAAAATTAACAACATAAACATATTAAAACACAAATATAAAATGTTAAATCCAGGTAAAGCCAAGACAGACAGAAAGAAAGAAATGAAACTCAGCACAGAATTAGGCATGTGCGAAAAGGCAGTGAAAGATTTTAAAGAATGAAAAATCTGGGGAATGAAAGGCACACAGCATTGGTGCCAAGTTAGTGACTCCGGGGAGGACCTTCCAGAATGGAGCACCACAACTGAAAAGGTTCTTTGTGTGGTAGCCACCTTGCCTTGTCCTGCTTGGCAGGAGCGATCCCAGAAGAGCCTCAGAAGAGGGTCTTCAAATACTGTTAGGTACAAGAGGAGATTATACTGTGGGCAAGGCAGGTTACCTGCTTTTAAACTGGCCTCCTGACAGGTCATTGATGACAGCCTGAAAGGCCTAGCCAGACAAAGAAAGACAAATAACCCATCTCTAAATGTTAGTAAGCACTAGTTGTGCGGAGAAAGCAAATTAGCTCAAGGCCCTGGCTGTGAGGGAGATATTTCCCATCATACTGCTTTCCCAGTTAAAATTCCTGTCCTCTCCCCACAAGCTACTTTTTGCCCATTAGTAGAGTATAATAGTAGAATATATTAGTACATATTTCTGCCCATTAGTAGAGTATACCTATTGAGCTAATGTACACATTCAGGTTGGGGCCATATTACCTGAAAGCCAGTCTTCTCCCACATAGTCCCACCTAATTTTTAAGACTATCAAGGGAAGTTTTTTTCTCAGTACTTGCAGCAACTGAGGTAAATTTGGTGGGAATGTCACAGTGGGCCTTTTTTGGTGACTGCTGCGAGCCTCTGGAAGTCTCTGCCAAAGGGGCTGTCTGTTGTCCTTCCACAGGTGGAAAAATGCATTTTTATTGAGGCAGGCATTTGGCATGTAAGACGTTCTATTACTGAAGGGCGGGGGTATTTAGCTGGTGCTGACAAAATAAGTTCTAAAATTGCTTTATATTGAAAATATTTCCTCACATAGGAGGTGAGCCTCCTTAGCCAGTCACTAGCAGGCTGAATAATTTCTTCAGGCTTCCAGGAGAGGAATCAGAGTGTGTAGAAAATTCTCACAGCAACCCGGACAAAGTAATTCAGTCAAATTTGTAGGAGCTCCGCTCTGCTTTGAAGGACCTGGAGACTAGATGCAAGCCCATCTTCACAAAATTGAGTTTTTACAGGAAGCTAAATCTTGCAAAGAAAACAGATTCCTTAGCAAAACCAAATAAATAATTATAAATACCCAGAGCTCAATGAAGAGAGAGCTTCATATGTTCAACATGAAGATTAGTAGATAACTGATAGGTTCTTCTGATGTTACAATTTTCACTGTGGGAGTGATATTTTACAAATTAAGATAAGGTAAGCAGCATGTCATCCATGGGCACCATTGTAACCTTGAATATCTTTCTTGGTCCCTGCCCAGGGGCCCACCCCTTCCACTTAAAAACAAAAATTTTAATGGTCCCTTGGACTGCTGTGAAACAGGTTGTTGGTGGTGCTGAACACTGGATACAACAGTGTTGTTTAATCTGCTGGGATCTCAGCACCCATCTCTCTACCTCATGCTCAGCCTTTGGGGCAGTTACTTGTCCTTTGCCATGCTCTCACAGCAGCCATTTTCTTGTGTGAGGAAATTATCAAATTTCCAGATGTGTGTATGGCCCAAAAAGGCTATTACACCACAACGGGCTTTGTCAACAACAGGCTGGTTTATTTTATATCACATGCAGCATTTATACAGTGCTTTAGACTGATCAAGTTCCTCACATACATGTCTTGTAAATCTTATAATGACCCCATAAAATAAGTCTAGTCTATATTCTAATCTCCATATTGTTAAACAGGGGATGCTGACCCAGAGAAATCATTTGTGAGTTCATGGCAGAGGTGAGACTTCTCCAAGTCCTCCCTAAACAACAACTGGAATTGAAAAATGTGGCAATCAAGATGGGGACTCCCATATCAAATATGGGGTAGACTTTAATTTCTTAGGATTGGAAGGACCCACAGAGAGTGAACTGACTTGACAGGAATGAAGTGAGCTTTGCTTGGAGAGCGGCTTTGAGGTATTGTCAAGGGCACCTCCCGTCGCAGCTGCTTGCTGCCGCATGAATAGTTTCACAGCTCACCGCAGAGATGACTGAATTTAATTTGAGATGAATGGACGCCTCCCTCGATCTAGATGACATTTTCATTGCAAACTAACAAGGGGAGAAATCCAATTACCTCACAAAGGGGCTCCCTAATAGACCATTCAACTTGGAGAGTGTGTGTAGGGAGGGTGAAGAGGCATGGAACGGCTCTCCAAACTAAATTCTGGGAGGGGTCTCAGTGGCTATAGTGTCCCGGACAGACACAATGTGAGCAGCGTTCCGGCAGAAGGGAAGCAGCCTGATGTGAGGACTGCTGGCTACAACAGCGCTAGATTAAAGCCAGACAGATGCCAAGGGTCATGCTTTTAAGAGAACCTGAAGGAAAATTCCC